TAAGATAAAGGCTTATACTCCTCATCACAGTGTCCACTGGTTGACCTTTGTTTCTGCGCAAACTCAGTTTTAAGATCAGTTTACCGTGTTCTTCCAGGTTGTTTTGCTCTGGTCTTGTTGCCTTCTTGGTGCCTCTTTATCTCTGTAGCTTGGTGCATCTGCCCTCCCAAGGCTGAGCTGTCTGCGGCAGAATTATTTAGAAGCCTCTCTAAGAGCTTTCCTGTCTTCTCAAAACAGCAAGTCATGTTTGTCTAAGTAATGTTATTGAGGAGCCTCTTTACCTTAAAGCTTTCCTGTCTTCTCAAAACAGCAAGGATCTAGTTTAGTTTAATTACAATCACTCTGGTAAGTGCAAATTTTACATTTACAGGTATCAACCCCCAGTATCAACACAGGCTGGAGGACGAAGGGATTGAGACTTGCAGATACTGGTGAATGAAAAGCTTGACATGACCCAGCAACATGTGCTCACAGCCCAGAAGGCCAATCGTATCCTGGGCTGCATCAAAAGCAGTGTGGCCAGCAGGTTGAGGGAGATGATTCTGCCCCTCTACTCTGCTCTGGTGAGACCCCACCTGGAGTCCTGCGTCCAGCTCTGGAGCAATCAGCACGAGAAGGACATGGACCTGTTGGAGCGGGTCCAGAGGAGAGGCACAACAATGATCCGAGGGCTGAAACACCTCTCCTGTGAACAAAGGCTGAAAGAGTTGGGGCTGTTCAGGCTGGAGAAGCAAAGGCTCTGGGAAGACCTTATGGCAGCCTTTCAGTACTTAAAGGGGGCCTACAAAACAGCTGGAGAGGGACTTCTTGCAAGGGCGATTGGACAAAAGGCCCTTGTAGCGATTGGACAAAAGGTAATGGCTTTAAACTAAAAGAGGGTAGATTTGGATTAGATACAAGAAAGAAATTGTTTACTGTGAGGGTGGTGAAACACTGGCACAGACTGCCCAGAGAGGTGGTAGATGCCCTGTCCCTGGAAGCATTCAAGCCCAGGCTGGACAGGGCTCTGAGCAACCTGGCCTAGTTGAAGCTCATTGCAGGGGGTGTGGGCTAGGTGATCTCTAAAGGTCCCTTCCAACCCAAAGCATTCTACGATTCTTTGGAGTTTCAGGTGCTTGGAGTGGCACAGAGCATGTGATGAAAGAGGATCTAGATATTTTCTGTGTTTCCCAGATAAAGGTAAGACTGTAAAAGGCTACGGAGAAAGCAATGTGCAGATCCATAACACAGAGAGCTTTGGGCTCATGAGTCAGTAGGTTTGCACTCTTGACACATGAAATAACAACTTGTTGCTTTAGACTGAAAAGAACTCTTTATTCTGATGTGCTTTTTTCACTTTGTATTTTTGAAAGTTAAAGAGAAGAGCATGTTTGAAGAAATTTGAAACAAACATCAAGATTTGTAAGGTCTTGTTCACTAGACGAAGTGCAGCTATCCTGTTTTTACTTGTAAGTAAGCTTCCAGCGAGACAGGGCTGAAATCTCTCATTTGATGGAGCTCCTTTTATCTTTGGCTGCATTTTGTGGATTTGGCAAGCTAAGATTGGAGTATCTACACTGAAGCCCTGAAATACACAGACATAGCTTTTTCCAGTGGCTCGGTATTAGTCAGCTTTCAGCATACTTACAGAATCCGTAATTCTATTTTCATTTAACAGAATTAAAGGTAAAATCACAGAACATGTCGTGTAAGTTAGCATGTGTACGATAGCCTTCAGTCTCACATATACGGCTAAAGTCATATGCTTACTAATTAACGACTGAGTTAAATGCTGAGAAGGGCATATAGTCTTATGCAAGGGCAGTAGCACTTGGGCAGTCTTGGGTATTAAAACCTAATGCTGCAGACCCCATAAACCCTGACATAAAGGTTTATTTGTGAGGGCTTGATTGCAAGTTGGTGGTCCAGTGTGGCAGGTGATTTTTTTCTTGGTACGCAGTGCTCCAACTCCTGAATCTTCAGGTAGAAAATCAACAGAGATGCAGGAAGGATGTTACTCCAAAAGCAGCCTCTCTAAAGATCAATCTTTTCCTTTCTTTCCATAAGACCTTATGCAGTATTGTAACACCATTTCAAAATCCTTTCCTGAGCGCTGCATCTGCACCTTTCTCTGCAGAGGAACAAGTGCTGTCACCCAAGCCAAAGACACCTCTAACATGGCTTACTTTCCTATAGCACTAAAAGCTATATTTTTCATAACTGAGATTCTCTATTTTTTGAAGTCTTGTCCAGACAAGCTCAACAGGTATAAAACTGCTTTGGCTGAGCTGGAAAGACCAGCACACATGGCCAAACTAAATGCCTGAGCCTCCTTCCCTGGAGCACGTCAAGTGGTAGAGAAGGACTGACCACTGTCACGGCAAGCCTTTCCCAGGGAAAGTGGGGGAGAGGAAAAAGGAAACAAACAAAAGTCATAGAATCACAGAATAATAGAATCCTAGAATTGTAAGGGTTGGAAGGGACCTTAAAGATCATCTGGTTCCAACCCCCT